AAATAACTGCGAAAGAGCCAACGTTTTTTAAACGACACATTATTCGCGTATACTACCATGACATTTTAAGTTGGTTCGGCTAAGCTTGTGCGGTTCTCTCCAGATCCACTTTGTACGACTTAAGACTTTAAAGCTACATCTGTATTACTGGTTTTACCAGCAAAATGTGCTCAAGAATATTGTCGAGACCCGAACGTTTTTGGAAGGAACCATTTTACGCCTATAGGATCACGGACCTTTTTGTTCATTATATGGTAGTGGTGTTTTGGGAGAAGCGGGTTCATCTCTGTAAGTGCCACTCTTCTGAAGTTAGGTGTTGATTACTTTGCCAGTTATTTCTGCTGTTTTTCTTATTTTTTGTTTCTAACGGCGCTCTATTGTCTACAGTTTGAATGTAAACCATTCGGTTTCATTTCTCACATTTACTCATTAAACTGTTTTCATACTAGGTTTACTGAATAAAATAAATATTAGTCATGAATATGTAGGATAAAAATAGGGAAGCAGAGTATGCCCAGTAAAAAATAGAAAAACAAAAGCAAATACAAGAACTATACTATGTTATAGAGCGTAATGGAGATCGTGTCCAAGTGCAGGCTGATTACGATTTAGCTACATCATCTTCTACCTTTAATGTTGATTGTTATTTGCTACTGATTACAATCACCGGAGACAGGGACAGATGTTTGAAAATCGAGTTTTTTTAACGTTACCAAAATAATAACCTACAAAAAATATTCTTTCAAACAGAAAACTAGGCTCTATATGAAACGGGCTTTCTGCCATTTGAATACAGAAAGGTTCAGCTAAGAACCATAAAAATTCATCCTAAGCCAACTATATCACTAAAAACAAGATAGAATTCTGCATCGATTAAGGAGAGAGAAAGGTTTCAAATCATTTCCAGGCAGGAAAAAACTGAACTACAATAAAACCCATTTTATCTTCAATCCTCTGTAACGGCCACGATACCGTATAATCACTTTTGAAGCCGAAATTACTATCATCATGAATCTATTATTGCAATCATTCAACATCATACGGATACCAGTACAATTTTAATAGTCAATTTTGAATTGTCGCTGTATAGGTATTGTATCATACTCTTTCCTTTTACAGTTTGATCGTTTGGTCATAAGCAAAATATTAACAACTTTGATGGCAAAAATTAAAAAGTCTGTTTTTCTGAATGAGCATCATAATTCTTTTCTGTTTCTGACATTAATGTACTAACTACGAAGGAAAGGTAGACTTTGTTCACTCATATAATATATTTAGAGGACGGATTTTTGTTACCTAAAGGGTCATATCTTCTACTCAGATGAGTCATCTGCTATTTGCTTCGTTTTTTAGCAATCCAGAATAATATGAGAATAAATATTCTAAGCGAGAAAATATTTCTAATATCAACAGACTATTCTGGTTTTATATGCTAGTTAAAGTATCGTACATTATTTTTCAACATATTTTTGGGAATTAGTCATCGCGAGCTAAAAGAAACGAACATCTTGAATAGGCGCATTTTTTTCCAACGAATGTTTTATTATTCAAAACGAATACATCATTTGCTTCATATCTTATTTTGTTTACGTAAGATATCTCAGTAAATAATGGTTCTTTTTGAGTAGCATAGAAAGAACTAGTGAAAAGCATCACAAAGGTATGAAAAGTATTGACTGCAATAAATGTTATTTGATAAGATTTTTTTCCCGAGATTACTGTACAATGTGAGGGAAAAAACGTTTGGCTACTGGTATACCATGAGTGTCTTGATTCTCTGTTTTTGTTTAATACGATGCGTTTTTATAATCAACTAAGTAAGTCTTTTCTTTCAGAATTAAGAAAACAAAAACAAGATGAAGACATATTGCACTGTATATGCAATATGCTTGTTAATCGTATTTCAAACAGTCAGTTCAACATTACAACGGTTAGTACAATTTGGTATGGGAAAACGAAACGAGATGAAAGTTTTTATAGTAAATTTTTTTCCTAGAGTCCAACTACATCATTTTGAATCTGCTCATAATCAATTAATATCCGTTGGATCTTATCGTTTGAGTGCATTCGAAAGAAAATATGGCCTTCGTGGACCGGTTCCAGAAGGTTTAAATAACTATCTTGATGTATGTATTTATTGATCATTCTCTTATGCTCAAATTTGTTTATTTATTTTCTTGAATTCATTAAGGCTCAGTACTATGGTGACATTGGTATTGGTACACCTTCTCAAATATTTCGTGTTGTATTCGAGTATGTATAACTTTTTAAAAATTATTCTAATTGATTCATCATAGTTTGTCATCTTATTTAGTACGGGTTCTTCCAATTTATGGGTTCCATCTATTCATTGCTCATTGCTTGATATAGCTTGTCGTACGTAGGAAAAAAAATCACGTTATTAAACAAATATTCAAAAATATATGTTTGTGGTTTGTAGAACTCCATAGGAAATATGATTCATCTAAATCGTCAACATACGTAGCTAATGGAACAGACTTTTCGATACAATATGGAACAGGAAGTCTAAAAGGTTATTTGAGTGTTGATACAGTAACAGTAAGTTATTCTCGACAGTATTATGCTAATAAATAATCTAGCAACGATAATTTTAGATTGGTAATGCAAATATTCAGCATCAAGGTTTTGCTGAAGCAACTAAACAGCCTGGAATCGTATTCGTCACAGCTAAATTTGATGGTAAAATATAAACTAATCAGTTTATATAACTGTTAAACGCGTGCATGTTTATTTTCAGGTATCCTAGGTTTGGCCTATCAATCCATATCTGTCGATGGTGTATATCCTGTATTTAATAATATGTGGGATCAAAAATTAGTACCTGAAAATATCTTTTCATTCTGGCTTGATCGGTATGTCTTTAGAAAGGAAAAAAGAAAGACCATGAAGAATGAATATCAGACAAAAATATATGGTGATTGCAGTTGACAGAGTTATTTATTTATTTTTTATAGAGATCCGAATAATCCACGTGGTGGTGAAATCATCTTTGGTATATAATAATGGTAATTTGTTTGAATTTGCATATGATCTTATTCTGTTTGTAGGAGGCTCTGATCCACAATTGTATACAGGAAACTTTACCTATTTGGATGTAACACGTAAAGATTATTGGCAATTCAAATTAGATGGTATTAGTCTAGGTGATGCGAAGTATTGTGTTGGAGGTTGTCAAGGTAATAAAAGATTTACTTCATTTATAATACTTTTTCATATCGAAACGATTTCTTCTTTTGTAGCAATTGCTGACACAGGTACTAGTCTTTTGGTTGGTCCTGTTGATGAAATTGCAAATTTAAATTCAAAAATTGGTGCGTTACCCATCGCGAGTGGAGAAGTAAGAAATTTATTCTTTAACTCTTCATACTAAACGGAGAAAAGAGTTAGAGAGCATTACTTTTATTAAGAACTCTAAGTGAATTACGATAAACTTTGCATGTTGTAACGATTACAATAAGATAAAGATTGTTATGAAATTACTAAAGAAGAACGTATTGTTTGAAATGATTTTTTTATCAAATGTGCTTTTATTACCAAGAATATTTTCTGTTTAGTATATGATTGATTGTAAACTTGTTCCTGGTCTGCCACGAATTAATTTCACACTTGGCGGAACTGAGTTTTATTTGGATGGTCCTCAGTATATATTGAATGTCACAGAATTCGGACAGACAATTTGTTTATCAGGATTTGCTGGCATCGATATACCGTATGTATTTATTCTACTAGCCTATTCTGCGCATAAATTGTACTCACATATACTTTTGGTTTCTAGACCTCCAGCCGGACCCTTGTGGATACTTGGCGACGTTTTTATCGGTCCATGTAAGTAATTTCATATTCGTCTATTTAGAAAATATTAAAAAGAAAATGAATTTTTGTTAATTTTTTAGGGTATACAGAATTCGACGTTGGTAACAATCGTGTTGGATTCGCAAAATCTGTCTCACCACCGTCAAAGTCGTTTAAAAAATTATGAAATACATCACTCGATCAATTAATGAATTATTAAAATGAAAAAATGTAACGGATTAAACAAAAAACCTTTATTCAATTCTCTTCTATGAAATTTAAACATACGTTGATCTAAACATTTTTATATCTTTTTAAGTATTGCAATTGTTTTAAGTCTATATTGGAAAAAGATCATTCTGTTTAAAATACTTACCTAGTTACAAAAATAAGATTCTCTTGTTTGCTTTTTAATAACCGTTTGTTATTAATAAAGAGGAACGCTTTTAAGTCCCCAAGGCATCAATGCTTGGTTTTAGGTCAACCGCATATCAAAATTGAACATATGAGACCTCGATATGACTTTCTCACGCTCGAAAAAAATTACTTTCCATTTTTAAAAATCTTAAGTTTTTATAATTTAAATTTATAATCAAAAATTTGAAAAAAATTATTTTTTCCAAAATTCTCATTAGAAACCAAAGGTCAAACATATCTAAGTTTAGACCATTAATTTTGAGGAGGCTGAGACAGTAAATGAGCTGAGATGGTGAAGAAAATCAAGAGTATCAAGAAAACGAGCCCGAAATCTCAGCAAAATATGACCTTTCGTTAAAGAGTGTAAATGGCATCATTGTCAGAGTTTGTTGTTAAATCAAGTTCAAATGGATCTAGTTAAATATTTTCGCACACATAAAACACGAACAAAATATTTATTTTTACTATTCGAAAGCTATTTTAATTTCTCTACAACCGATATAAAATTAGTTTTTTCAAACACTGCTTCCTCAGTTTGTTATAATGATAATGCCAATGTCCATTTGAATGGACATTGGACTTTAAAGGGTTAACTAGTCTATCTATAAGTTTTCGTTCTGATCAATTCACTCTGTGATTCTCCTAATCAAAAACTGTACAACAGTGAGATAGAAATCTGTCGTTAGAAATCGCAGATAATCTCCACCACCTATACAATCATCTTTTATCAGTACTTGTAAACTAAAGGGTGGTCCAAAAGTTTCGACCCTCTGTAAATTGACTATAATTTTTTTCCTTTTTAACTCATAGTCATAATTGTTTTTCAAAAATATGTGCCGTAAAATCAACGGGGAAACAGCAGATTTTGTGACTTTTGTAATCTGGGCTTCGTTTCATAGGCAATCAATTTTTTCAAACTTTTTTGTCGGAGACTCCTTGGTATTCTTCCTGACTTCGCTGAACCTGAAGGATTTTTCTGACTGTTTTTGAATTTTCCTGCGTTTTCTCCGCTTACCCCCATTTTCAGTCATTTTTCCAGATTTTCGGAATTTCATCGGATTCTAATCCCTTTTTTCGATTTTGTCTTGTACTCTCAGGAATTCCTCGAGGTTCTCGAACTTTGGGAAGTTTGTATAGGATTCTCCAGGCTTGAGTAAGTCTGGGAGTCCACAGCTGCTTGGAATTCTGCTGTTTCTCCCTTGCGTAAAATTCTCAACAAGAAATATATTGAACATTTCTTTATATACAGCAAAAATAAAAGTATACCCAGGTCAAGGATTCATGGCCGTATACTATAGTATTTCGTCGTATTTTGACGTAAACCCGGTCAGCGTATTACGTCCATCGTAAACGACGTCGTTTACGTTGAAATACTGCAATCTTGATCACTTTTCAACCAAAGTCAGTTTTTTCAGTTTCATTGCTTTATGTTTTACGAAACAAAGATAAGAAGATGGCAATTTGTAGCCCTTAAACAGCTCTATCAAGTGTCTATTTTTAAAACTCTGCATAGTCACAAGCAGTTGAGGGAGAACTGTTTTTCTTTTTTCGATGTTGCTAAAAATGACCATTTTCAAACTGCAGTTTTGGAGTACCTAAGAAATTCTTTATAAGTCAGCCAAAATACAACGTTTTTCGGTCGTATTTTTTTATGTTAAAGCAAAATAGCTCTTCTGTTACTCTCTGGCACAGAAAGTTCAATAGTTTTACTTCTTTTTTGTGCTAACGCGAAAAAGTCAAATTTTTCGTTTTATTCGATGAATTTTGATGATATCGCCTTCTGTGCCAGAAAAACATTTTCAAAGCTAATGTTTGACATACAAAAAGAAAGACAACACTTCAGAGCATAAGAACATACAGTTTGCTTACAACCCAATACAAACTTATGAACTCTTTGTAACTTTTATACAAGAATATATTTATTTTTTTAAAAATTTAAGATGAGAATGTCGTTTCAAAATTAATAAATGACTATAACTTTGCACCACATGTATGCAATTCAAAACTTTTCTTTTGAGATCATAGCTCTAATGTTTATCTACACAATGATATATTATAACCAACTAACTATATATGTATTTATATAGATAACGTCAGTTTACAGAGAGGGATCGAAACTTTTGGACCACCCTTTACTTATGCTAGGTGTAGCTTTCAATCAAGAATCCATTTTATGGTCATAATCCAAGAGCCATCGAATACCGAATAACTACAATTTTATCGTTCTTAATAAGAGTGTAAATGGCATCATTGTCAGAGTCTGTTGTTAAATCAAGTTCAAATGGATCTAGAAATCTGAAATGATGAAAAACGATAATTACAGCTCCCTGTACAGATCAACGTTGTCTTTGTACATGAGATGCATGCTAACTGAACTAAGAGTAAATAATCGTTTATTTTGCACATTAAAGGGAAACACTGTGTCAAAGTTCGAAATTTCAGATTTTAGTTCGAGTTATTTTGTATTCAAACAACTACTGTTGTATGTCTACATGAAAACAATCATCAGAAGTAGACTATCTGACACACCATAAATCGCCTAAAGCGTCCTTTTTCTTACGATGTTTTAGCAGAGAAAGAAAACAAGGGCTCGTGAAATAAAACAGAAAATTGAATAAATCAGACCAAAACACGTGGTCCAATAAAATGAAGAATATGCAATCAAAAGTCGAGTAAATATCATTAGCAAAAAAAGCGCTGGTATAAAAACACATTCACAAATGTAGTAGAAAAGTAAATAAAATTACTTTTTCATCTATGATTAAACCCGAATAAAATAGATGATAGACACTGAATCAATAACTGCCCCTTTTCGTGAGGGTTTCTAACGGGTGGCGCAGAATAAAACGGACTATTTTGTTTCCTCTATAACTTCGCCAGTTTAAATCTGATCGGGTCAATTTTTTCCCATCAGAATCGTCATTCAATTCTCCACAAAACCATGTGTAAAACATTTTTATAAACTACAAAATGGCTAAGTTCTAAAACGAAGAAAACAGATCCGAAAATCTTCAACTTTCCAGCTCAAAATGCATTAACATTTAGAGTATGTTTCGACAATTTATACGCAGGCTTAAATTAAGGGAGAAACATTTGCTGGCAGTTTCAAATACGCTCTTTCCGATATCCTTGAAAATATTTTGTTTGAAAGTGGCCTTCGCCTATTAAATCGATATTTTTCCGAAAACTCGTCCAAAACGCCTTAAT